CTCTCTCTCTCTCTCTCTCTCTCTCTCTCTCTCTCTCTCTCTCTCTCTCTCTTTCTTTCTCTTTCTTTCTCCATTGCTCTTTTATTTATATATAACATAATATAATATTATTAATATAAACGTTTACGTTTTGGCCACTCAGTTCGTAATCGTCGAAGCACACTATTGTCTGTGTTTCGCGCGATCTTTAGATAGTTTAGAATAATTTTCATTCACTTTTATACAACACTGAAATTTTTCCTGCTGTTGACTTTATCGCCCTTGTATATGCTTTTTTGTAAAGATGAATTCCTCCATCCAACTCGGCGGCTCATCTCCTTCTTTTGGCATCTGTCGCAGCTATCATTTGCCTCAACATCGGTTCCGGACTGCATACTTGCGGATCGCATTTCATTTTACCGTCATTTCCGCAACTAAAATTTTGCAATAATTCGCGTTAAGTATTTTTCAGAAATAGTACACATACAGCTAATAAAAACGATAAACAGATAGAGAATATAAACTGATATTTTTTATTAACTTACATGCAGCGAAGGCAAGGATTAGACGCTGACTTAATGACTTCTCCCACTCGGTAGGCATGGCCACTGAGTTGACAACCACTTCGTCTCGCGGCTCCCTTGTAAGCGTGCGCGGGGAAGTGCGGTGGTAACGTGGTCGTGGTTGTAGTAGTGGTGGTAGTCAAGTTGAGAGCCGTAGCCATTGATACGGGACACTCGTACCTGGGGCAGCAGAAGCCGCTGATTGGTTCTTCGTGGCAGCCGGGAATAGGCGGTGGACAACTTTGTTGGAGACAAATAATGTCACTCCTGAAGCAGAAACAGAAGTCGCACGGGTCGTCTCTCGGTATCTGTTGTGCCGAAACGTAAACCTTGCCGCCGTATCGGCAAGTACCCGGTCCTCCATAGTCGTCCTCGCCATAGTCGTCGTCGGGATTCGGATAGCCACCGGACATGGGGAAGTGAGAATCTTCCCCTGATATTCCGCTTTGATCAGGATATTCTGGAATATGAGGAGCCGTGGTCGCCGGCCGTTGTTCGTGGAAACCATAATCAGTTTCTGGTTTCACAGTAGCCTCCGGGAAGTGATCAATGTGAGTTTGCTCTTCACCTTCTTGCGGATGAATGGGTTCTTCCTCGGGTATCTCTTCCGTAATTTCTCCAGTTGGTAATTCCGTGGGTATCGGCTGTGTCTTTATGACAGGTTCTTCGACCGGCTTTTCCGGTTGCGGAATTTCTTCAGATTTTATCGGAATTTGAGATTCTGATTCTTCTGATGAAACTACTGGTCCGACGGTAGTTGTTTCTTCAGGCAACTCAGTTGGTTTCACGCTAGAAACCTTGATTGGACCTTCGGTCACAATAGTTTCCGGTTCTTCTATTTCCGGATGCTCTTCTGTTTTTGTCGTAATAGGTGCTTCAGGCACATGTTCTGTAGTAAACAGAGGTTCTTTGGTCATACCCGGATGACCTTCTTCGAATACAGTTGGATGAGCCTCTTCGATTTCTTCAGGTTGGCTAGGCTGAATTTCTCCAACAGAAGTTTCTTCCTCAGAAGGAAGAGGCCTTTCAGTAGGCTGTAATATAGTTATCGACGGTTGTGCTTCCTTTTGAACAGAAGTAACTTCTATGGATTGAGTAGTATATACTTCCTCTTCTTCTCCTGCTGTAGAAACTTCTGTCGGTTTCTCTTCAACTTTTGAAGTCACTTCTACTGAAACCACTTCTTCCGGTAATATTTCTTTGGTCACTGTACTTTCAATTGCTTTTGTAGTAGTTTCACCTTGTTCGGGTGACTCTGTTCCTTGTTCGGGTTCAACTGGCTTTTCCATTTCAGATGGAACTTCCTCAGGCTTTTCGGTTGAACTCACTTCGAGTTTTGTGACAGGTTCTTCTGGCTTCTCCGTACTTTCAACAGTTTCTTCTTCGGGTGAAAGTTTTTCACTAATTTCGGTCGCTGGCTGCGATACTTCTTGTATGGTAGATAATGTTGTATGATATTCAGGTTCATAGGTGCTCTGTTCTTCCGTTTTTACTGGTTCAATTGAATATTCTTCAGGTGCCAAACTTGTCACAGTTGTCGCTTCTTCACTTACTGGATGGCCTGGTAAACCAGCTTCGGTAACATAACCTTCTCCTTCTTCCAGCTTCTGTTCTTCTGGAATAATTGTTGTTTCCATCGGTTCTTGAATTTTTACAACTAGTTCAATTTCCTCTTGTTTGGTATGTTCCTCTGTAGTACTAGGTGTTACAGCTTCCTCTTTAACAGCTTCTTCCGTTTCTTTATCCATTAATTCTGGAACCGTAGTTGGCTCTTCTTTACTAGGTTCTTCCGTTATTCCGACTTCAGGTCTCTGTTCTTCATCTTTTTTATAAATTTCAGGAATAACAGTATGTTCTTCCGCTAAATCAGGCAATTGCGTTTCTGGTTTAACAGTTTCTATTGTCTTTTCGGTTGTCTGTTGACTCGTTACTGGTATAACTTCTGTTGAAACGCCTTCCGTTATATTTTCTTCACTAGGAGAAGTAACAGTTTGTTCCTTGATGGGATATTCAGGTTTTGAAGTTTGTTCTACAACCGGAATGGTGACGTGTTCCTCTTCTACAACCGGTGTTTCGGATTCCGAAATGGGTTGTTTAGTTTCCGTTTCACTCAAACTTGTTTCTTTTATGGCCGGTGTAGTAGGTTGTTCACCTTTTTCTTCTGCAGATGCAGATGTCGTCGTTATTTCATGCTCTTCTGTAGGTAATTCAGGCGTATGAGATTCAATTTCGGTTGTAGCTTCTGAATGCTCCTCAACGGGGATTCGTGTACTTTCTGATTCTTGAGCGACGCTAGTTTCAGTAGGCTTTTCGTGTTCTGCTTCAGTAGGTTCAGTTTTCACTGGTTCCTCGCTAATGACTGGAAATTCAGTTTCCGATGGCTTTTCTTCGGGCAATTTTGTAACTGACGATTCTTCTTCGTGCTCTATGATTGATGGTTCTGTATGTTTTTCAGGATATTCTGTAATTTCCTTTTCTATTGCGCTTTCTGTTGTTTTAGGCAATGTTTCTTCATGGGAAACTTCAGGAGTAGATTCTTCGACTAGTTTAGTAGTGACTTCGATAGGCGTTTCCGTTTCAATAGGCAAGGTAGTAACAGTAACGTGTTCTTCTTCAGTTACAGGAGCTTGAGTTGAAATTCTTGATTCCGTCTTTGTACTTTCTTCCGTAGGAGTTTCTACAGATTTTATAGATGTATATTCCTCTGTTGATGCCTCCTCACTTACTGTATGATCATGTATCAATGTCGTCGACTCAGCAGTAGGTGTAATTGGCTCCTGCGTTTCAATTTCGCTTGGAGCAGCAGGTGTAATTGGTTCCTGTGTCTCAATTTCGCTTGGAGAAGTGCCAGACAATTTTGTTTCTGGTTCCTCGGTTTGAGCAGTTTCAGTTAATGTAACTGTCTCGTGCTCTTTTTCCTTTTCAGTTTCACTCTCGGGTTTATGCTCAGTCGTTGGCTGTATTTCAGAAATTAAAGTACTTTGTTCCTCTTGAATGCCTGGTTTCTCTGTCAGAATTTCTTCCGATTTCGTAGATGTTTCCTGTTCTTCGACAACAGGTTCTTCAGAAATTGGCTTTAATGAAACTTGTTCTTCTTCTGGTTGTTCTTTTTCACTTGGTTTAAATGTAGATTGTTCTTCGATACTTTCTTCTTCAGTGGGTTTCTCCTGTTCTTTGGTTGGCGTAATAGTTTCTTCTTTACTAGTTGCTGTGGTCGTAACTTCTTGCTCTTTCTCAACAGGTATTGAACTTTCTTCTACTTCGACAGGAGCAGAAGTCTCTTTTTCTTTTGTTATACTAGGAACCGTAACAAGTTCTTCAGTGCCATGAGATTCCTGTTCTGTAGGTACCTGCGTGGAAGTAATTGCTTCGCCACTAATAGGAATCTGTTTCTCTCCAGCTTGCTCCTGCTGTTGCTCAGTCAAACCTGATGATTCTGTTATACCTTCTTCGCTAATTTTGCTTTCAGTAGTTTCTCCTGGTATAATTGATGATACAGTATGTTTTTCAGGTATTTGACTGGTGGACTCTTTTGATGTCTCAGGCATCACCGAACTAATAGTATGTTCCTCAGGATATTGCTCGATAGGTTGTCGAGTAGTAGGCTGTTCATAAACCATTTCAATAGGTTTGAGAGTGGTCTGCTGCTTCTCAGTTACTATTTCTTCTTCAGGTATAACAGAAGGAACAGTACTTTCTACAGGTCGTGACTTCAAAGTACTAATCTCACCAGCTAATGTACTCGACTCTGTCGTAGCTTCTTTTGGTATTTCCGTAGGCAAAACAGTTTTCTGGATTTCTTCTTCGCCTTCAGAAACATGAGGTTCGATAACATGACTATCGGATTCCAATTCAACAGTCGGTGTGGAATCACAAGCATACATTGGACAACAAGATTCTCCATTTGTGTGAACTGGCATGCAATTCGATAGATGCATTGGCGGAGCAGGACATTGCACGAGTTCACATTGTACAATACTGCTAATACAACGACAACTGATCTGACATGCGTTTGCCGGTGGAACGGCTGAATTGTTGCTATAAGATTGTCCTTCAACAAGACAATTACCTTCTCCTGGAATACCCAACGGACGAGGTGCAAACTCTGTTGTACTTTCTGCTTCTACAGAAGTTTCTTCTGGAATGCTTGTTGTATATTGAGTTGTTTCTTTCGGAATAGGCGTTGAATATATCTCTTTTTCTTCATGCTCCGGTATCTCCGTAATCATTTTTTGAATAATTTCTTCTTCAGACTTTAGTGGTTGTTCCTCGGTAATTGATTCTTGAGGTGTTTCAGTAATTATACCTTTTTCTGTAGATATTTCAGCTGGACTTTCCGTTTCACCTTTTTCCTTAATTGGCATTTCTTCCTTTAGTGATGGTTGCGTGACTTGCTCTTGTATTTCTGGCTGTTCTTTTTCCGAAGGTACAGATTCTGTTGCAAATGTAACTTCTTCCTCGACAGAAATTTTGTGTTTTGTAGATTCTTCAAATCCAGGCAATCCAGTTGATGTTTCAGAAATTAATACTGGTATCGTCGTACTTTCCGCGGTTTCGGTTGTCTTACTAACATCTACGTCTTCAACTGGTTTTTTAGAAACTTCCGGAGTTATGGAAGACTCCTCGTGAGTTGCAGGACTGGATGTTTCAGTCTCTGTTTTTTCTTGAACTTCCGGTTGTTTCTCAGTGACTAGCCCTTGAGTCTGTTCTTCCTGTCCGGATGATTCAGTTGTGACTTCTTCCGGTTGTTCACTGGATATTTCTGGCGTAATAGCTTCGCCAACAACAGATTCCGTTGTACTACCCGCAGCCAGTTTTTCTTCCGACAGAACAGATTCGGTAATAGTACCTTCCGAAGATGGAATATGAGGCGTTTCTTCTTCAGGAAGAATTGTCGGTTTTTGTGGTTCTTCATATGCTTCAGTTATTTCTTTTTCTGGTTTCTGTGTTAATTGCTCTTCGTTTAGTTCTGGCTCAATAAGTCCCTGATCTTCTTTGCGATCTGAAAGAATAGGAGGCTGACTTGATACTCCGCTGACGGAAGTCTCAGTTTGCTTCTTTTCTGGTTCTGTCGTTATCTCAGTGGCTTTAGTTTCAACTTCAGGAATTTTTGTTTGTATTTCTTCCGTGGATATAGGCACAGAAATCTTTTCTTCACCTTCTTTTTTACTTTCGCTTGCTTCAGTAGGATGTTCAACGGGCAATTCTGTTTGTCCGATGTCGGTAATTTCCGTTGGTTTCAATTCCACATTTTCCTCGGTTGGTTCCTTTTCTGTTACTGCAGCAGTTTGTTGTTCAGCACTTTCTGTTGACACGCCTTTTGTTTCTTCTGGACCATGACTTTCCGTAACAGTAACTTCTTCTAAAGTTTTCTTTGTAGAATATTGTTCGGGTTGCGCAGTTATTCCTTCTTCAACAGCGGAAACTTGCGTTGTGTACTCTTTTTCTGTTTCCATTATTTTTATCGCTTCCGTAGTTTGCTCCTCTTTCAAAATAGATTCTTCAGTTTGTAATTCTTTTTCTTTTTCGCTAATTATGCCTGGTGTTGTAATCGGATGTTCCGTAACAGGTTCTTCAATTGGTTTTTCAGTAATTGATTCTTCTTTTTCAATAGGAACTATTTCAGTTTCTTTCTCTTCGACTTGTGACACGTGCGTTGATTGCTCAGTAGAGGAAATTACGGTAGTAGCATATTCACTTTCTGTTGCATGTTCTTTCTCAAGATCCGAAGACACTGTTGAATGTTCCGGTGGAACAGTTGTGGATATTTCGGGAGCTATTTCTGTTATGATTGGATGTTGCTTTTCTATTTCTTCTTCTTTCTTTGGTTGCACTTCTTTTTCACCACTGATTTCCTCGGAAATACTTTCACCAGATTCTTCAAGTCCTTTCGTGGGTATTTCTTCACTACTGGGAGACTTTTCCGTTAACTGTATTTCTATTTGTGGCACTTTACTTACTTCCTCTAACACGATAGATTTTTCAGGTGCTTCTTCTTCTGGTATTCTTGGAGCAATAGTGGCTGTAGAAGATTCTGTACTAATTTGAACTTCGGTGAGAGCAGGTGTGCTTTGTGTTTCTTCAGAAACTGTAGTGATTTCAGGTTTACTTTCAGTTGGTAAGTTTATTTCCGTAGCTTCTTCTATTGGTTTCGTCGTTCCTTCCACTGATACTTCAATACCTTCCGTCGCAATTGGTTTTGCAGTTTCTTCTGCTGGAGCTCGCGTGGTTTCTTGTTCCCGTGGTAGATCCGTTATAGGTATTTTCTGCGGAATTTCAGTCATGAGATTATCAGGACTAATTTTCGGATGAGTGACACCGTGATAGTCTTCTGTCACATGATATACGCTTTCGTCTTCTGCCTTCTGTTCTGGACTTCGTTCGGGAATCGGTATACCAGTTGGACCTTGAGCTGGAATTTCCGGAGTTGATTCTTCCTCTGCATGTGGCACTTTCGTGATGAAAGGTTCTTCACTAATCATTGAGCTTTCAGTCAAGCCAGCATCTTCTTTCTTAGCGCCAAGAGTAGCTTGTTCTTCAATTATTGGGTGTTCGGATGTTGTTTCTTTCGGTCGTTCTTCCTTTTCACCTTCGCTTATCACTGGTTTTTGTTCTTCGGCAGGTTGTTCTTTAGAAGGACCACTTACTTCACTTGACTGTTCCGTAACAGCAGTTTCCGTCGGATGCGACACTTCTCTCTCAGTAGTGATTTGTTCAGTACTAGATACCTCGTGAGCAAAAGTCACAGTTTCTTCTTCTTTCGGTGATTCCGTTTCTGTTGCTAAAAGTACACCTGGCATAGTTTCTAGTTTACCTTCACTTGTCTTTGGCTGTTCGCTAACAGATTCAGAAACAGTGCTGGTACCAGGTTCTTCAATTGGCAATGTTGTTTTCTCAATGATTTCAGTTGAACTCTCTGGTTTTTCTGAACCAATTTGTCCTTCTTGTGTTATCTCTTCTTGTATTTGCTGCGTTGACAATTCTTCGTGCGGACTAGTAGTCTGTTCTTCTTTTATTGGAACTTCGGTTGTTTCGCTAATGGTAGGTTCGACCGATTGTCCCTTTTCAGCGACTGCAGGAGTACTATGTTCCTCTTCTATTATATTCTCTTCTGTGCTTACATGTTCTTTAGGTTCTGTTGTTAACAACTCCTCTTCAGGTTGCAAGCCTTCTGCGATAGACGAAACTTCCGGTAATTCAGTGGCAGGTGTTTCAGTAACTAAACCTTCTTCAGTTCCTTGTACTGTCGTAGGTGCTCCTGGCTTTGTTGCTTCTATTTCAGAGGGCACTTCCTCTACCTTTTTCGATGTTATATCAAGAGAAGTTTCGGTAACATGTTCGTGAGAAAGAGTAATTTCTTTCTCAGCAGTAGTAGTTTCTATCTTTTCTGTCGGTAGTGTTGCGGTTTCTTCTTCAGGTTTTTCGGTAGACGGAATGTGTCCCTGGGTAATGTGTTCGATAGTTCCTTCAACAGTTTTATCTTCTTCTTCCTGAGCATAAGATATAGTATTGTCGATACCTGGGAATATTTCTTCCTGAGGTTCGCCCTTCATTTGTTGATCTTCCTGGTCAATCAGTGTGGATGATTCAGTCATTTGCTGTGGTACTTGTTCCGAAAACTGTTCTTCCTGACCTTCATCTCGTACCGTAGTGATTCCTTCTTCTGTAATAGATACATACGAGTCTTTAGTGTGTAATGTTCATTTAGTAATAATATTTCTTATAGATAGTTAAATTACATAACGCATTGTTACTATTATTATGTAAAATTACTTACCACACTCGTATATGGTTGGACAACATTCTCCTTCTGGTGGCGGTAAGGCCGTGCAATTCTTTCCATGCTCTTGCATCGGTGTTCCACAATTTTGGACAGCGCAAGCGATCTCGCCTCGGAAGCAATAACAATGCTGGCAAGGCTGAGTAGAATAAATCAGATCACCGTCTTCATAGATTTTACCTTCGTAATAACATTGAGGTAACATGCCAGGAGGTAGCGTTGTGGTCATGATGAGGCCAGGAGTTGGACCAACCGTAGTGCTAGATTCCTCATCGTATTCTACACAAAAAATCAATAATTGTAACCATTTTTCAGTATGAAATGACACCAAAATATTACAAGACAACGCAATTACTTACCACAATTGTACTTGATCGGACAACATACACCCGGTTGATAGACAGGTTTACATCCAGCCACTTGTAAAGTACACTCTTGCATAACGCAAGTGGTTCTATTTCTGATGCAATAGCAAAGCTCACAAGGATTGTGATGATCCAACGGCAGCATAGCGCCGTCTGCATAAAACCTCTCGTCGACATGGCAGCCATAATTGTCATGGAATCCGACTTCTGTGGAATCCGGTGCACTTGTTGTTGATGTCAATAGTTGAACTGGTACTTCCGGACAGGTGATCACGGGACAACATTGATCCGGACGTTTCTCCACCGTGCAATCCTGACCGATCGCTTTTGTGAAGGGACAGACCTTCAAGTAGCACATCAACATTCGGTTGTGACACGTGCAGTTTAGACATGGTTCACTCGTCATGATCCTATCGCCTTCTTGATACCGCTGGTAGTTAAAATAACATCCAGGGATGGCTATAGAAAATTTATTATATATACATATAACAGATACGAATCTCTAATATTGTAATTATATTGCTATTTTTATAAAATATTATCTATTATATTCGTTACGAGATGCAATGAAAAAGTTCAATTCAGAAAAATTAGAAAAATTTTTTATTTTATGTTACATAGAAATCATTTGTAATAAGTTTCTTTTAACCTTTTAATTTATTGAATTAAAGTACACACAATATGTGCGGTTTCTCAAACCACGATACGATTAATGTCACGTTGCTGATGCACGTGACGATTGATTAGATGCAATAAAAGCAAGCGTGATATACATACCTCCATCGTACTCTGCGATCTGTGTGGTATCCTGGTCGTATACCGGTGCTGCAATCAAAGAAACATGACTGTTAGTGCTACGCGATCGAGTGCATCGTGACAGGTACAGACGCAGGCGTGTACGTGAAGTTAATGAAAAGCATAAAACGGGATTGCCGAATAAGCTCGGTGAAATTTGCAGGGGTGGACGTCAATGCGTCTCCCGCGTGCAGTTTATCATAGTAATTACTGGCGGGACGCATTCGTCGTCTCTCGAGGGTGTACCGGGGCTTTACAACGGAACGAGTGGAAGCGTCATATGGCGCGAACACACGTGAGCGAATTCTCGTTAACACCCTCGCCCCAGTCGTACGAGTTGCATGGTGAGTGCTCACGGAGTAGTGAATTCCATTTGGTTCTTCCTCTCGTGTGCAATTCACTCGGATATTCGCATATAACAATCGCGGATCTCCCTTTACAAGCCTATTCTTTTCTTACGCGACTACACGCTTTCGCAATTTCTTTTTTGAAATTAAAATGTCGCGCGCAGGATTTGAGTTCGATTATTCCTGAAACGCGACAGGACACTCTTCCGAGGTATGTACAATCACTGAGATGTTTTCATCGGAAAATCGTTGTAGACAATGAACCCTCTCGCAGCTCTGTCCTTCTTGCTTTTTCATCTTCGAGATAGTGTTTAATTTTATATTACACGAAAGATTCCAAAATTACAAATTACATTCGTACAATGTATCTACATGTATAAAATACGAATAAAACAATACCGTTTAGATCTTTGTAAAAAAATAATTGATTTGTCAAACGTATAAAAAAACCATTTTATTAAAATTTATTAATGGATTTTCAAGATTAGATATCGACATTGGCATTATGTAATATATATATGCGTCTTTACAAAAACTCACCATCTATCTATATGCCTTTAATTTCACGATTTCAAGAATTAAGGCTCGTTAGACGGAAGATAAAATGAATAAGGAATAAGAAGAATAATGGATTTCAATCTATATACCAGAAGCTGAATACATTGAAATACACGGACAAGTAAATCTGTTATTCCTTATTCTTTTCATTGTGTCTAAGCCCTTGGCATTCCGCGATGCAAGTGATTTCCAGTGAACTGAACTGTACTGAGAAATACAACGATGGTTGAATGAAAACTTGGTCGTGTCTCGTCAGTCCCACGAGCAAGTCGGTGCCCGAGCCGCGTGCCTCCACGTTATACGAACCCATCACGTACGCGTGGCCTACCGAGATGATTCTTGTCTCGCACAATGGTCAGACTAAATTATTACGTGGCACCTCCCATCGTGGAGACCACGGTCAAGGTGTCGAGGCTTTGTACACGATTGTAATCTCTGTACGTGATCTTCATTATGCGAACGCTTAACTACAACGACATAATATGGTCATTCAATGTACGAACAGTATGCACTCGCGACAATTAAATGCATAATGAGGTCATTGGACTGAATAAAAGAAACTCATCGAGTAGCTATGTAAGAGTACCATGATAGGAAATTGTGAGAAGAAAAAAATGTAATTATCATCAATTCGATTTTTTCCCTAAAATTAGCACATTTTTGCTGGAATTGTTGCTTTTCTTTTGAACGAATCGTATGATTTTTTCCATCGAGTTTTACGACGATACACACTAAAAACCGAAAGACATCTTTTTGTCGCGAGCAAGCGTTTTCTTCATTTCTTCACTCGTAAACGATCAATTCCCGTCGATGGAGTAACGGGACAATCATTGAGCGCGTATGACCGAGAGATGCTGACAAAAAATCACGACACAACAAAAAATTTCAACTGTAATAACGGAGAATTGCATCATGATGAAGCACAATGATCGTCGATCGTCGATCTGCTTTTGATACTTGTTTCTTATCCCTTCGAAATCGAAAGGCACGAATTGCGAATCACCTCTCGAAAGAAGCGCAGTGAGAGAGAGAGTCGTCCAATAAATCTCACGCAGCAAGATAATGTTCCGTTCTCCGGATACAAAAATGCAGTTCCGAATAAAACACGTCTTACAAAGCCGCTAGGAAGTGCATCGACTAAGGTATGCTCTAAGGCAGACCTCTCTCGATGTACGCGGAACGCAGACTCTAAATCAATCTTAGTCGCATAGAAAAAGGGCAATGTGGGAGTTTATCGGTATCAACAATAAACGCATCTTCCCTCGAATATAATTTCCGCGCGCGAGATTTATGCGTTCTTCGGCCTCCTCGCTCGTAATCGAGGATCGTGCTTATATAGGGTGTATTAGGTATTCTAGAAGATTTTAAGAAGTGATTTCTTACACAAATTCAAGACAAAAACTTTATATATCCGAATGGTTTAGTTCTTTTTTCAAAGAGGGTGTGTCAAAATTGACAAAATTTATAATTTTTTCAAAAATTTCGAAAATATTGTTTTAATGAAACTTCGTACCTACATGTTTAAAGTTTGACAAAAATAACAAGAGTTGTTTTTAACATTTTTGAAAAAAACAAAACAAATATTTCTTTCTTTAAACCATGCATTTTTAAAACCAAACTAACTGTTTCAGATACAAAATCGTATGAAGCTTTCGTCTTGAATTTATGTGAAGAATCGTCCCTTAATCTTCTAGAGTACTTAATATTCACCCTGTATACGCACACGAGTGCATATGTTATGTATATCTCAAGGAATCGCGGGAATCATTATGTAAGTCAACATACCACCGCGCCGAGTCCTCCTGCTTCCTCTCCGTGTGTCGTTTCCCCTCTCACTTTAAGGGCGACTCTCTCGATTCCTCCCCCAATCGCATCGCGACCTGATCCGTCCTGATTCTCCGCGTATGGGCGCGTACGCGCGCACGAACAATGCTATTACATACTGCAGAGAACAGGAGAACGCGGGGCTGTTGCGCTCGGTTATGAAATCATTCCCGGCGGCCTTGCCTCGCGAAAGTTCATTACCATCAGCCGCGCACGCTCCGATGAACACCTGGCACCGCAACCAGCCCCTGGCGTATTGCGTGCACGAAATTCTGCATTACGCATTCTCCAAGGTCGCGGTTTCCTCCGTCGCGCGCTCACCAAGACAACCTCTTCGTACACTGATTAAAAAGATGATGGAATAATTTCGTTTCTTTGTGTGAGTGCGTGTGTGTGTGTGTGTGCGAGATGAAAGACTCGTTACGACGGAACTTTTCTCGATGAAGTCCCGCATGAAAGACGACAGCTATTTCGAGAAATTACGCAGCCTACTCGCCGTATAATTTTATCGAAATATACTCAGACTTCAGGAAAGGAGCAGAAAAATAATGCCATTCGTTCGTATCAGTGGTGATTGTTAATGTCAATGTCATGCGGGTATCGAGAAGGTATAGAGCGCAGTGGAAACCTGGCCGACCGGTTCTGCTGGCGTAATACGCCGTACTCTGTACGTCTAGCCCGTAGAATCCCTTTCGAGGACAATCATAAATTATATCCTCCCAATCACACGGGATCGAGTTCGTTGCCACTTCCTACATTATGATGCAAGTCCGCGCGCCGTTAGGTCCGGTAATGAGAATAATTCCCAACTCGCGCGCGGGAAAGAAACGCTCGTTTCCGATAAGGGACTCGAGATCTTTGAACCGCGATTCACTTCGTTGCGCGAGAATGTTTCGTACGTGCGATTGTGGATCTGGCGGACGTTGAACGCGATGCCGTCAATACAGCCTTAAATTACGCCCCGCGTGAAAGCGGAACACCTATTTTCCAAAACGGACTAACGCGATCGATTTAATCCGTGTCACGCTGACGTTGCACCCACGCGTTCCGTTATACCCTTCGTCGGATGACCGCCGCTGACCTCACCATCTCAGTAAGTAGTCAAGAAGGTATACACAGATGAGAGAGAAAGAGAGAAGAGGGAGTGGAGTCCTCTTACGATGTACCGGTTACAACGGGTCCTTTCTATACCCTTTTACCGCATAAGAGCTTTTCCTCATCTAAATTGACGGCGCAGAATTTATTCGCGCTCGCTCATCAAAAATGCATTTAAATCGCTTTAAAATCATCAGTGATTCATTCTCGTGTCAACATATCGTTTCACGATAGATTCGCACATAACTCGGTGCCTATACTGCACAGATCTCTAAGGGACGTTCTAAAGACCTTCGAAGGTTGTCCTTTGAACGTTCTAAAGACGTTCCCCTATGGGAATAGTCTAACTCTTAGATAAAGTGTGCTATATGGGAAAAATTTAAATTGCTGAAATGTGTAGAAGTCTTTCACGTAGATTTACGAATTAACTCATATAATTCTGTCTCGCGTAAGAAATGCGAGCAGATTTAGTATGTGTGTAACTGTACACCGTCTCTCACGTCACATATATCTTGAATTTTTATACGCTTCACGCCGCGTGTGCAGTGCCATCACGATTCTCCGCGCCATCGCGAGAGAGAGTTTGATGATGCTCGAAGATAACGACACTTTGCCAAGCATTAAGCATAAATATGGAACGTCTTAGAGGTCAGATGCAACTCCGGTAGACGACGTACGTGGATCGTAAGTGGCGAACGGTGAGGTACACGGTCAGTGACATCCCGATGCGGGCACGTCGACTGATTGCTCCTCACTTACAGGTTTGACCAGAATTCACACACAGCATCACGTCGATGCAGCCACGTGGAGGAACCGCTACTCGGAGGAGCGCCGAGACGCAGTTCTTTTTCCTCTATTTACTTCAGATTTACAATTATAATAGATCACTTCCGGATGGGACTCTAAAATTAACTGCTCCGTTCATTAAAGAAATATATTTAACGTGTCATATTTCTTGTTTCTTTTTCTCTTGTAATTTCTTTTTCTTTTTTTCGACGCTGACATAAGAAATAATTTGTACAAACTTTGAGTGCGTTCAAGGAGTGCGCTATCAGCGCTATTACGTCATTCTATTCTTATTTTACGTCTAATGAATGTTAAAGACAGAATACTTTAGAGGTACAATAGTGCTAACAGCGTGCTTGCTCCCCATGTTCAGCGCGATTAAACGAGAAAAAAGGACAAAGAGAAAGAGAGAGAGAGGAATTAACGGAACTCACGGGCCATATTCTCACCGATCGAATATTCATAAATCTCGGCCAAGTATGATAAACGATTGCCTCGGAAGTCTGGTAATATGTATATGAATAAATGTGTGTGTATATTCGAGTGTATATATAGCTGTAATATTAGTGATATTTACGCGATACTTATTACTGCATATTTCCAATCGCGCATAATAATGATATCACTCTTTTACTTTGAAGATGACACAACTTAAGAAACATTATTTTCGAGTTATTACTATGAATGAGTTGGGTAAACATTATTTTTATCGATTATCAAAAGTAACTTAATTTTGCCAAAAAAATTGATAAGACTTAAAAAGAATAATTTTAAAAAATTATTACAACTCAAATAGAGTAGTTTTTTTAAGGATTGTACAAAAAAATTACAAAAATGATATTTGACTAAGTAAAAAATATAGATATTTTCTTTACAAATATTAATAGTCAATAATTTTTTGTCAAGTTAAAAAATAGTTTTCCTTTTTCTGAAAACATGTAATTTTTTAAGTTGTATCACTTTTGAAGTAAAGGAGCCATATTATTATCACGCAAACATGTAACAATTTGCAATACATGTAACGTAATGCAATCTGATACACATCAAGTATAATAATTCCGATAATCTCGAAACAGCGAACCTGAAAGAAAGTTATTGCTATACGCGCGTGGTAATATAACATGACAGGTAAACACTTTTTTATAATGAAAACCTGTTGCCTCTCGAAGTTGGCGATATTGCTGATTTCCTTTCAATGCAAGTATCTCGCCAATGCCCGTTGCGCCTCGAGGAAGATACATAATCCAGTAAAACTTGTCCGCCGTCTGATGGATTACCGGTGATCGAACGCGTCGATCTTGATCGTCCTTGCTGCTCGCTCGAGAAAAGCTCGAAGGAACAAAAAGAGCGTGCATGCGATAGAGAGTCACAGAATCACCCAGCGATTCTCAAGGAAGGAAAAGAAAAAAGAAGAGCGAGTGAAGACACGCCGGGTGAGTTGCGGAATTCAATCGATCCCGTCCGTTTAACCACACCTGCTCTTCGTTGAAACACCGACGGCCGATTGATGAAGGGGAGAGGCAAAACTGACGCATCTTCAATAAGCCTTCATTGACGATGCAACGTTTTTGCACATCGTCGTGTTCATAGTATCATGCTTTTCCGAGAACACGCTCCTGATCGATCGATCGATCGTCGTGTATGCGAAATAGGTTCGTTTTCTTTGCGGCCTCTTGACCACAAGATATGAAATTACTTTCTCGAATAACGAATTACGAGTAAATGACGAATCCTTTTTCTATCGATACCGAAGCGCATTTTTATGCGGTCGATATTACTGCGGCGTAAATCTATCGCCGTTTTTTCTCTCCCGGAAATAATTCATGACACGAGCGATGACAATTGGAGAGAGAGGCCCCGTTTTAACTGGGACTTCTTCTAATATCGAACCACACAGGATTACCTATCGGGATACCTGGTCTAGGCGTACCGTTTTAAACCAGCTCGACGTAAAGGGAAGGAGTCGGCGAAACTTGGCGGAACGAGGTTCACGATAGGAAGGTGACGACTGACCGCTAGAAGGCGATCCAAGAGTGGTCGAAGAACGAATATGGTGTGTCAGGTCTATGGGAAAGCACCTTGGGCCTCGACACGACCGATGCCAGAGGTGAGCATTATGAGGTAATGCTCTCCTCGTTGCCAGAGAGAAAGAGAGACACGCGGTGTAGGTTCGACGGCCTGACAGAACGTGGCTCGCTCATTCAAACATTGGCTGGCCGACTCTCTGCTGCGTTAGTCACAGACGATACAAGAACGACGGTCTCGCGGAAATGATCGTATCATCTCTCTCTCGTGACTCTGATTTTTAGAAATTAATTTCAATACACGCGATGATCACGCCCGATTTCAGCCTTTCTATCGCACCTCTATTCTAATCTTGAAAAATGCAGTGGCTTGAGAGATTCTATCTATCGTGCTTTAATAGAATCACTCTTCTTTTGCCTTTCAAAAAACCAGTTTCCATCGTAAATGCAATAAAACATATCCTACTCGAGTTACGAAAGACTTTTCTCATCTTCATCCGAGATTACTTCTATACTCTCTCTCTTTCTCTCTCTCTTTGGTCTCTATTACAGCAATATTCAACTTCTTGCCTGTATTCCATAGAGTGTAAAAAGAGTAAACACTACGTCCACGTGGAAACAAAATCTTTTTTTTACGATTCCAGCATATTTTGCTACATTTATGGACGGCATTTATGGACGATCCGGTGGTGGAGTACAATCTAACTTCGAGCAAGCCACAAGCAGAAATAATCCGATCGCGTCTTCTCGGACGAGCGAAAATATTTCTTGCCCGTCTACCTCTTATTTCCTCGTGGGAGTCCGCGCGTTCACGGTCTCTCTATCAAATAAATGACTCACGTTTTGTACGGCGGCTCAAGCGTGTCCAAGGCGTTGAAGTCAGACGAAAGAAAGGGAGCTAGAAGTACACTGAGGTATTTCTGCAAAAACTCACCAGAATGCGTGGATCGTGACGCAAGCAGTAGGACGACGGCCAGCCAGAGGATTATTCCGCGTCTACAAAGCGCGGCGTTCAACGCCGACATGTCGGCACTCTTCTTCCGTACCCTGCAACACGTAAATTATGCTTTCGTTAACTTATATATGTGTGAACATAAACTAAGCTTTGGTCTCTCGTATGGCTACGTATATAATAATTATGGAGTAAAGATTAATTTAAAATCTCTCTCTCTCTCTCTCTCTCTCTCTCTCTTTACAAGACTTATTTAGTTAAATTTATTTCTTACTTGTGTAACACCAAGAGTTTAACGTTTCTCTTTAACTTTATTTAAATATAAGTGAAATTCGTTTACTTTATCGATTGTTCAATAGTCGTGATCAATTGCCAATGAATAACATTAAAATACTTCACTCGTAACGTAAACATAGTTGGGGGCGTTTTATATCGATCATCTTATATTATATCGAATGCAATCGCTCGGCTTACGAGTAGATTCATACCTACTCAGACGGCTTTGAGAATTTTTTCGCGTTATCTGCATACGCGCGAAAGTATAACGAGCCATTGTACGCGCACACTTATCTATTCCATCACGAGGCGGCTTAAAGGCATATCTATCTCGTCACGTGGCATTCTACCATGTAACTCTCGCCTTGATCTGACAGGATGACAGCTGGACGGATACAGTGGTCGCGTTTGAAATCGAGTCAAACGCATCTCTGCACTTTGACCTTCTCGCGAGTGTACATGCTGCAGAAGACTCACCGCGGCAGGTATAATTTATATACATAAGTAACTAAATATTAATTACGTAAATGAACGTATCATTTGCTAACATAACAACATTAATTTTAAAATATAATTTTCATGTAATATCCAATTGCATTGTAAAAGTATGTATTTTTTAAGTAGGGTTCTTCTTTATTTTCTGTAAGTGGCTGTCCTTTTTTCTTTCAAGCATATACAAGCAACTTAAAGATAAATATTTTTATCATGATTATATCGAATGTAAAAATCGACCTAATAAAGGTCGAAACGTTTATAAGATTCAAATTGTTCTTGATAAAATTCGTAGCTCCTTTTGCATACATTTAGTATTAATAATCATCTATCACTATATCTATGTGTAGTCAGTATGAAGAGAACAGTCAGTGTCTCGAGAAAAACAACAAAGTTAATCGGTTAAACGCTGTAGAGAGAGTTAATCGGTGTTGGGGTAGAATTAGCCTTAAGGTATACAATGTATCATGGTGTCAAGACGCGAAATTCGCGACGCGAGAAACCATTTGACGCATTCGCGTCGCGGCGGGAGGCTAAATGCGATTCGTCTGTCTACCTGGAGCGTGAGCCGGCTATGAGAGAGAGAGGCGTGGGTGCGTGGGAATGAGCACGCGTGTTTGCACGAGCCCGCTGTGTGCTCAACCTCCTCCGTTTATATCGTTGGTCAGCAGACCTCGCTCACCCGATAAGGGAATAGGCACGCGAAAAAGCGTGAGCGAAAAAAGGATTCATGTAATAAAAGTTCCATTTTCAAGTGGGCGCTATAAAATTGAATATCAGCCACGTTTGCATTCCTCCATTCCAATATAGAGGGGGGGGGGG